CCAATAGCTTTAATATCAGTAGTAACCAGACCCCACTCTGCTATAGGGTTATAGAACTGTATTCCTCACCAAAACCCCACACCATCTTACCTTCACTCCCAGATGGCAGGGCAGGCAGCTTTCCCTTCCATTGCCAGGTTGATTAGCTTGGTCTTTAGAGGTTCCTTTGCATCTTCAGGACAGATAGGAGGACTCCAGGGCATTCCTCAGTGCAACTGAAAGGGCAGTATGACTAGAAGCACTTCCAGAGCTTGGTGTGCTTTTTCTCCTGGTCAGCTCTTCCCAAATCTCCCCGCTTAGGTTGCCTTCCTCTATGTTACCCAAGGAAGTTGTAGGTTGCCCAAGGAAGTTGTGAATGCCCCCTCCCTGGAAGTGTTTAAGGCCAGGTTGGATGAGGCTTTGAGCAACCTGGTCTAGTGGAAGGTGTCCCTGCTGATGGCAGGGAGTTTGGAACTAGATGGTCTTTAACGTCCCTTCCAACCCAAACCATTCTATGATTCTTATATACTCACAAGAACCCCCTAGAAGGCTTCTACTTTCATCCAGTTCTACTTCCATTCATTGTTTCTGTTGCCTCAGAAATGAAAATATGATAACTACAATTGTAGCTGCCTGTTGGGCAGCCGTGATGGCCTTGAAGACTCTGTCAAGAGGGTGTAGACACCCTACAGGTTGAGGCTAGCAAGGCATCCACTGCCAGGTAGGGCTTGGGGTCACCTAGGCGTACCACAGAATGACACCAGACTTCTCCCAAGGGATGAGATCTCTGGCTGTGGGGAAGCACAGCTTGCAGAGGGCACGTTTTGACCCAACAGCCCTCAGAAACACAGGTATCGGTTCCCATGGCTCTGGCCCAGCTGTCACCCGTAAGCACTAATGCTGTATCTTGTGCCAGGCCTCATTCAGAGAACATGAACCCACACACAGAGCATCCAGAGGACTTTATACTCAACGGGCTCGTTCAGAGGTACTGGCCTACACGATTTTCCTGGGGAAAGCCTTCCACAGATTTCAAGGGAAAAGGCTGTATTTTGATTCCTGTTTCCACTCCAGTGCTTTCAAGTGATTCAGAAAGCCTGTTCCAAGCAGGACGTTATTTGAAGCCTGTGCTTTTAATAACTGTCTGGGCATGCTGCCTTCTTCACTGACACACACTGCCACCAGCAGCCCTTTCTGAAAATATCACCTCTCCATTCATTTTCCCCTCCCCTTTCAGGACCCCTGGGATGCTTGGCCAGAGGGCTGCTTTTGCCATCACACACATCTCAGGCATTAGTTTCTTTTGTTTTGAGTATGAGTTAGTGCTATGCTGCTCTCCCACCTTTCTGCTCCTTTCTTGTGCAGGAGATACTGCTCTTGCACAAGAAACATCACGGAGTTGTCTGACCTGGCAGCCCACCAGAGGCAGTTCTGCTTTCACACCAAATATGGCCTTCATGAGACCCAACTCGCCCTCAGCCCTGCTTTACCTACACTCCACTGCTGATGGGGCATGGTTCTTGTCCCTAAAGCAATAGCATTTCTTTTCAGTGAAGTATATTAGTGAGAAAAAGAAGGGATCGAACATGCAAACATACCTTTTCATCTTGGTGTTTGGACAGCTCTAACTCCTCCTTACAAGTCTTTGATCCTTAACACCTTCATGGACCTGCCAACTGAAGGAAGGTGCATTTTTCATCAGTCAGCCAAGATCCATCAGACCATAAGCTATGCCACTACCTTGCTGAAGAGCCTCCATCCACCCTGATTCAGAACAGTCACAGAGCACTGCAACATGGTAAAAAACTGAAGGGCTGTGCAGGGTGCTTATTTTTTCTTTTACCAGGACCCATGTTACATGGTAATGGAAAATACTGTTTGTTTCTCAGTGTAAAGAATGGACTATGTTTTTAAGATTTTATTAACTGGGTTAATGAGATGTGTAATCCACAGAAGCACCGCTGCCTACTTTTGTTGTGCTCCATGCTGTTTAACATAGCTGAGGGCATGATGAATGAGGCAGCACGCACCAATGCAAGGTGACCAGAAGCTCCCCACAGTGAAAGGAGAGTCCAAGTGGCTTCAGTCTTCAGCGGTCACTCACAATTTATGTACCTTGTTTTTTTTAAACCCAAAGGGAGGCAAACTCACCTACATTTTTTGATAGCCTATCACTTTTTCTACCTAGACTTGTTCTACATGATGTGGTCCTATGCAGTGCCACCCAAACTACACAACTTACTGTTTCAACATTACAGGAGTTCAGAGGAGGCTTGTAGGGTAAGTAAAGTCAACAACTAGAGGATTAAATACTGGCAACCATTCCTGATGTTCCCAAAAAGTAAATATTACACTGGAAGATACCACTGCCACTTCTCACAACTACCCTCATCAATGCAGCAAGATAAGATTTCAGAAGGCAGCAAGACCTGGTATTCCCATGCTTTTTATAGCAGGGAAAAGAACAACCAGAAACAGAAACACTGTTAATTTGTTTTTCCTGAGCTGTTCCTTTTCACTTATTACAATTGACGGATCTAAGCTCACCAGCAGGGAACAAACAATAAATGCTTTTACAAAAAAACAGTTTGTGGTCAATGGTGTAGATAGTTTCTTCTGCATATTCTTAAATTCCTGTGCCTCTATGGATCTCGTGTAATTTGACCTTCTTCAATCTAAAGGGAAAACTGTGTTTGATATACAGCAACATCTAGCAAAGCATCTTTTGTGTTTCTATAGGCAGCTGGTGTGTTTTTTTCTTTTCTTGTGAAAAGTCTCACAGATCAGAGATAAGCATGAAATTTTTACATCACTGGCATACTGTAATAAATTTCAGGCTTCTTGGTCTTGTTTCAGAGCAGTAAGTTGATCTTGACTGCAATTTGGAGGCAGATGGTATGGAAGAAGCAGATAGTAAAGGAACTGATAGAATGATTTGATTCTAGGATGTCACCAATGTGGACAGTGTCTTTGGTACTGCCCAAAAGGTGCTGTTGGCTATCCTGGTGCTAGGATCTCCACTAATGAAGATGTCCCATCCTTTCTATCAGTTCCTGCTTCTGTACATAAAAGGGTATTTCCTACATACCCCCAGGGTTTTGCCAAAGGAGCCTTTTGAAAACTGAATACACGAAAGTACACTGGCAGACATGGCTGGGAAACAAGAACCCCATCTGTAAAAAAGTGCTATAAATGTCAGCATTTAGGCTTCCTCTCAGGTCAGAACTTGTGTCTTCTGTGTCCTGATTTAATTGCGTACTCTTTTGCTAAGAAACCTTCTCAGGGGAAAAAAAAAGTTTGATTGAAACGTGTTTGTTTGTGGAAACACACATGAACTAAGATAGGGTCAAAACACTACCAACTAATTAGTCCTGAGCTTTGGTTCTACTTTAGAAATCATTCTCAAGTACATTTTCTATGAACATATTAAATCTACCTAATTAGATCAGGGCAGATGATAAAAAAGTCCACATGTGTCCATGTGGCAACTCTCAGTGGGAACTTCATTTTCACTTCACTGGGAAAAAACCTGAGTCCCCACAGATACGACAAAAGGTACCTAGATGAAAAGTAAAATAGAATACTTTTAATATTTGTAAGTTTGTAACATTGAAGTTGTCTAGATTTAGAGATATGGGGATCCTATGAAGATAAGAATAAATTTTTACTCTTACTGTAAAAGTATAATAAACCCAAAAAAATCAAATATTTTATTTACTTCACCTAAAAAACAAGTAACTCATAAGTAAGATATACATAGGTTTCCCAGATTTATCCCTAATAAATTTTTTAAAGATTTATACAATTTCTACAGAAACATACAGTGTATCAAAATCTGCATAAATCAAATTTATAAAATATGTAGAAATGCATAGTGATATTATTATCAACTTACAAAGCAAGAATATGGGAATTATTTTTTTCCAAGCTGGCTATAGTAGGAAAAAGTCATTACAGCAACAGCTTCTTACGATCTCATGTTTTGTAAGGTTTCATCTCACATACAAATTCATATTCCCATACAGCATCAGCTTTCAATCAATTGCACAAAATACCCATTTAAAATGCACACCCGCACAATCTATGTGCCACCATCCTTTCTCTTATGCATAGTCGTATGATTAAATTAATCTACCCAACACACAAAAATGGAGTCAGTTTTCATACACACAAGGAACAAGTACCGGCACACACCCTTATTTTCCTTTTTTTCCAGTTTTCTCCCTCCTTTATTTGCTATTTTTCATAGCTCTGAAAGGATAGATGAGCAGTTTAAAGAAACTAGGAAAGATCCCAAACTAATAGATCAGTGCAGACAGCCCTATAAAGATCAAACTCTGCCACCAAATATGATACATAACCCTTGTTAACATCAATGGAAGCTGCATGCAATGCTATTCTAGATTTCAGGGAAGTATTTAGTCATATTTAATAGTGTGACATGTTATAGGCATAACTCTTATGAAATCAGTACACCGATGTCAACATTTAACAGTCACAAAATCTGGAATAAGGAAGTGAGGATAAATAATTTCTCCTCCACCTCTCTGTTCATTCAGAGTAAATATTTATACTCCTAAGGGAGTTTGCATCAACTCCTTTCCAGAACATTTTTAGAAACTTTGTCTTCACATTCTATTCTGTACACTATAGCACCAAGCGGTTGTATTTTATGTTTGTAATCCCTCAGGAAATGTTTCCAATGACAAAAATAAGAAGAAAATTAGCATGACTAAATGCAGTTTCAGGATTTCCATTTCTCTTTTCAAACCTAAATCTGGCATCCAAACTAGCTGGCAGATCTCCTTGTAAAGAATTACGCAGATGTGTTAAGAAGCTGGATGTTTCTTCCTAGTTAAAAGTTTTAGTCCACTTCAAAGTGATTTCGATTTAAAGTAACAATATAAACAAAGCATTGGATTCTTTCTAGGTTTTACATAATTGTGCAGCTTTATTTATTTATTAAATTATTTTTATGTAAGGCATGGTTTAAACAAGCAAGTTAGTGCTTATAAATTCTTAACTGGAATCACAAGGGTGCTTACTCCCATCAAAATGTACCACGTTAGCACTAACTTGACACTAACTCTTCTTTGCACCGTACAAAGCGTCCAGTCGAAGTAGAGCAGCCAAACCAGTAAGAGAAATTTGTCTTCAGTAACACAGTAATTACGTGGGGTGGTACCATTGGTCCCTACCCCTGGTGACAGCTCAGAAAAATCCATTGTATAATTTCCAACAAATGCTTTTCTTGTGAAAGAGAGAAATCAAAGAGGCACTAAATATGTTGAAATTCACCTTCTGAAAAAGCAGCATGACTGTGAGAGAAGGCCACCCTGGCTAATTACCTGTGGCAGTGCTTAGTAAGATGTAAAATTAAATAAAAATATACAACAGGTTGATAATCACCAAGTTCTATGAAAATCTGGTTACTCCAACCTTTTCAAGTGTGTGTAAAAAAACTGCCTTCAGACCCCTGAGTGTAATCCCAAAGACGACGACAACGCTTTTAACTATGTTCCTATGAAACATAGCTAACAGCACATTAATTTACCAACATCTTAAAACAAAAAGATGTAAACATCTACAGAGTTTAAGGTAAAGCAGTTTTGTAAACATTAACTGCGGATGATAATGTTATTGTAATAATCACAGTTCGTCTATGTCCTTCATCCAAGCCAGGAGGCTCGCAGCTGTACAAAGTTAATAATTGCAGCAGTTTTCAGGCTATTTTCAGTCCTGTACAAATTAATGTGTCAGTAGGTAGATTTTGTCTGTCTACACACTAAGGATGTTGTTCATTTCCCATTTTTGTGTTGCTTTACTGGAGTCACACTCTGAAATGAAAACTTGATGGAGGACTTCGGAGCGATCCAAGCACTTCCCTGATGGAATGTGAGTAAATCTGTGCAGATTCTGGAAAACAAAACCATCAGGAACATGTGTTGGTTTTTCTTTTATTTTGTTTTTTAACATTTTCTTCACAACTGTAATGTAGTTATTTACAAAAACAGGTTTCAAGGTCCCAGAATAGATCAGTTCTATACTCATTTTACTATTTGTTAAACCTAGACTTTCACAGCCTTCCTATTATGAAAGGTTCGATATGTGTAGGTCCACTTGAGATGCCCTTCCACTTTTCTTAGGCAACAAACTGCTAAGAAAATGAGCAAAACTGTGTCTAAAATGCTTCCAGCCTTTTCATCCATCCTGTAACCAAACCAAAAGATTAACTGTCGAGGATAGCTCTATGAGAACTGACTTCAGTGGGCAGATCCCCCTTCGGTTAGCCCTCACATAAAGTAACTGCACAACACCAACAGTAACCACACTGCGGGGGGGAGGTGGGGAAGGACTAACTTTTGCTCCCTGTTTGGCTGGTAGAAGGAAGAGAAGAGGGTATGAGAGTATGAGCAAGCCTGGCCTCTGGAGCAACAGGAGGCTGCCTCAGAAATTGCAGACCTACTGTGCCCAGCACATTCAGGCTGAGACTCGCACATTTGGCTCCTTCCACACCCCCTGCCATGCCTGAGCCTCACACATTTGCAGAGTGGCCTGCGGCTCCTCTCCCGCCTGCTGACCCCCCGTGCCAAATGCAGCCCTGACTCGCTAACTGGTTGCATCTAGCCTGGAGAGCAACGGAGCAGAAGCAAACCCACGGCACTGCTGCCAGGCTGGGGCTTCGCAGCCCTGCCCCGTGTGCTGAGCACCCACGGGAATACACAATTCCCCTGGCTTGGAGACCCTCTTCATCACCCCATCACTCCCACACACATGTGCGTGTCCAAATGTTGATTCAGCTCAATACCTGCTTCTCCCGTGTGGCCAGACATGGGGGTCTTCTACTTGGAGAGGTACAGAGATGCCTGCACAAGAGTGGTAAGCAGGCCACTGCCAGCCCTGTTCTGGATGTTCGCTTATGGGCACCAAAGCCCTGCTGCTGCTCAATGCTCAAGCAGCACAGATGTTACCCTCACCAAACTGGCACACAAACACTCATTCCAGAAACAACCAACCGACCCACCAGATAAAATCTGCTGGCAGCTTTCACTTACAGGAGGCCACAACATTTTTCAGCAGTTCATAAGCATTTCATTCTTTACACCCTCCTCATCAGAAGAAATCGTCATACCCTCTGTACTGTACAGCACAGCATGCCAAATTTCTAGTATCTGCTTGGTTACACACCCTTGGTGGTCCTTTCACTCTCACTCTCCTTTTTTTTTTGCCTTCTGGAAGCCAGTCAGTGTTTTGTTCTACAGCCCAGACCAAGCCTACCGGGCTTCCTTATAACTTGCAGTAATAAGCAAACAATTACACAACCTGGTACCACTGTGGAGGAAATGGATCTTTCTTGCATAAAATAAATACTTCGTGAAAAGCCAAGTAACATGCTGGCATACACTAGCATGGCTGGAGAGTCAGCAAGTGCTATATACTATTCCAATATTAAAGCAAAGTTTGGCAGGCACTGAAACACTGCTTACTGATTTTTACATTTCAGGTTTAAAGAATTTTGTTTGTCTATATGGCACAAGCAAGCTGGGTGGAAATGGCATTATGGTGCTTGATATTTCCTAGCTCTACACAAACATCAGAAAAAGTGGGGTGGCTTAAGGAACAAACAGATTTTGCTGCACTCAACAGTGCCCACATCTTTCAGTCAAACACAATCCAGGTAACCAGCTAATGAATTAATGAGTGTGCAATATGCTAGATAGCCTGAATAAAAATCGAGATAGAAGTTTCTTAGACACGGAACCAACTTATGTGGAGCCATATCCAAGGATAATGTCACCCTTAGACTATTCAGTCTCATTTTTTATGAGATAAGCAGAAATATAACCATAGACATTTTTTTAAATAACATTTTCAAAACTAGAATTAATAGAGGACTTACAGATGTCGTGACTAAATAGACTCTAGCAGCCCTCACGTGTATGTCAGCCAACATTCCAAGTCTTTATTAAAAATTCATAGATTTTGCAATAGCATCATAATGATGCCACACCCAGAATTCACAGCAGAGCATGCTGTTAGAGAATGGCTTATGAACAGGAAAAAGAAGACAGATGAAGGCAAAGACAACACAAAAAGGCAGAGTAACGCAATGTTTACCTATTCCCATGTAGGCTTAAAAAAATTTGTCTTTAAACAGAGCAACACTTCACTTTAGACCTCCCAAAATTATATCTAATGTCAACCCTAGCTGCTAAAAGCACCTCAGCATTTAAATAATCTTTTCACAGTGTCCATTAGATAAAGAAACTTTCTGGACAGAAAGCACAGAAGCAGAGAGGGTAACAGCTTTTATAAATCCTGTCACTGGTAGTGGATATCCTCTTTGCTTCCCCACAGACAAGTGCTAACTCCTAACGTACCTGTGGCAGCTCATGTAGCCTCATGATACTGTCCTTAAAGATTTCAGTACAGCAGACAGCAAGTAGAACTGCTAGCAAAAGCATCTTTCCCTAGAGGAAGTCTTCCCGACAAGCATGGATTTCCAAGAATATGCAGTTAACAATTTACTCTACTTGGTTCAGTTAACCTTGTTGTAGACCTTTATTTTCAGATATACATAAAATAATAAAAAACATGCAAAAAACCAGGATGCAGATTATAATTTCTTTTCTGCTATATAACTGTAGCATACCTTGAAGTATTGCCAATCCTTGTATTCATTCTGATTACAGTGCATAATCATAATCTTGGATCCATCTGGTCCTTTAGTTAAGCACTGATCGTACTGCATGAGTTGATTAGCTTCATTGATTCGGAAAAGCTAACAGGGAAAAAAGGCACCTTTTAAACAGTTGACTCAAAATAACAACTGTTTTAGAAACACTAAAAAAACCAAAGAAATCGCATCCTTCGAAATATTGTTTGGTGTTATTACACCCATCTTTCAGGAAGGCTCTTTATTTTACATGACGTAACACACCTTTACTATCACGACACTCAATTTAATGGAGAACTTTCTTTTAGGATTTAGAAGGCTAAGAAACTTACCTAGGAAGACAAAAACGATAAAAATAAAGGGATCCTCATTTGGAGGACTTCTGAAAGTGTTTGATTAAAAGCTTCTGTATGATTTGATGGCCAAAGGATCCACTACCTTTCCAAAGATACGGTAGCAATTCCTTAGTCCTGGACAGTAATTTCATGTGAAGACAGTACAATTCTGGTGTTTTACTCATGGAGGAAATCAAACTAATGTATCCAGATACAAAAACATTATCCTAGCTACTTCTTATGAAATAACTGTTACAGGGTTTTGGGGGGTAACATATACAGAAAGAGTAGCTTAGGGAACATTTTCATTAAATATCAAAATAAAAGACACATTTCCAGGGTCTACTAAGAGCTAACCCACATATAATTTTTAAAAGCATCATCCTGCATGCGATTTCATGACTTCTGGGACAAAACTTGCCTGGTCAAAGTCTACATCAGCATCAAAAAGGACTTCAAATGCTGAAAAGTTTTCCAACCAAAAAAAGAAGATGTAAATACAGACAGCATGTTTGTGTGGTAGCGTGGGTAGGTTTGTGAAGATACAGGTCAAACACGACAGGAGCTTGGAATGCAACCATCTATTGGTAATTATGTTCTGACAATTAATTTGTAAATGAAGCAGAAACAAATTTGTATTTGATTTCTTGTCTTCTGTGGTGGAAGATGAGTTACTGCACAGAAGTGTTGTTTTATACTTCCATTAGAGTACAACAATTTTGTGAAATAACAGAGTCAAAGTGAGCAGGAGGGTTGTTTCCTGAAGGATGAATTATTAAGTGAAGATAAATGATGAATCAGCAGCAATGCTAAGAGCTGCAGTTGTTCTAATGCAGTAACACAGTTGCTTTAAAACATAGTCCTTGCTTCCTCAAATACCTGCTTCACTGAAGAGACTCTGAATTTGCCTTCAGTTTTGTACTGTTTGTGTTTGAAATAGTATTTTCAGATTCCTGTATTTTAGCAATGTCAGTGTGCTTACAGAGAATCCCTAACTCATATCTTTGTAGCTAGCACCTAAGTGACTTTACATACAGAAAATGAGCCTGTTCTCATCCACAGCAAACAATTCTCCTTCAGATGTGCCTCCAAGCCCCTTACCTGATTTCCTCCCATTCTGTGGCATGGCCCAAGCTCAACAAAGCCACCGTTGGTGTGCCCCATGCTATCGATGCAGTAAGAGGTTTCAAAGCCTCTAATCTGGAAAAGAGGTTTTGCACTGTAAGTTAGTCTCAAGGAAAAAGTAAACACGAAGGAGTTCCGAAAATTCCCACTTAACTTTCAAACCAGAAACAGATACCTGCCAGAGAGATGTAAGACAAACCTGCGTATGAAATTTAAACACTGATGTTAACTGTTCTGGCAGATGGAGCTTCAAGCTGCCCATGCTAATCTGTGGGCTCTTATGTGCGTTAAGAGTACAGTAATGAAGCTAGAGTTGCAAAGCTAAGTTCCGAATTAATGACACTGAAATGTAGGACTTTCAAGTATTTTGATTTATTCAATCCCCTATCAAAGCGTGTTTAGTCTCCCAGATTGTCATAAATAAAGCAGGAGCTCAGTTAAGTTGCTCTCATCCTGTGGATGAGAGGAACGTGATGCAGAGAAGTTGCGTGCAGCCATTAACTGCAGCCAGGCACAGCCCACTGACCTGGCTGCTCAGAAGTACCTTCTGCAGCAGCAATCACATGGGAAAAAAAGAGATAAAATTGATGAGGGGCAGGCACAGGCATAGGGATAAAGAACAGAAGTCCTGTCAGAAAGCATGACTCAACTGCTGATTATCCCAGTCCCTTCTCAGAAGGGCCAGCAAACAGCTTTACAAAGACATTATGTCACAAAAACCCCATTATTTCCAGACTGATTTTCTTTGACAGAGCCTCCTTCTTCTTTGTGATGGTAGAAGAAAGTCTGGAGGACTAAGCTTAGACCTGACTTCCAGAGAGAGCATTAGGGAAGATGAACCCCACACTTCCATTCCTGACAGTTTCGAAATGCAATTAGTGTGGTGCTACAAATAGGAGGAAAAAAATTTTTCAGATGTAGGATAACTAGCAGCCAGTGAAGAAGAGAAAACTTCAGAGAGGGCTTTGAACTTCAGATTTTACTGTTGCTTCGCCAGAGCTGCTCACTTTTATTATCCTGCAAGGTGGCCATTATTATTTTATTCTCTTAGACACTTTCACCTCAGTGAATAGTAATATATAACGTGCCTTCCTAACCTTTTATGTGGATTCAAAAGGAGGTCTAATGCTACTGTGATAACTGACGCTTTGTGCTAGCTTTTAGGGAAGAAATAAAGGAGCCATTGTTCACCTGGTCCCTCAGATACAAGGCTATTTGTACCCTCGTTCACCATGCGCACGCTATATGTCACTAATTCCTCAAGAGAAATTAGAGATGACTCTTTCTTGGAAATAGCATAGATCTGTACTTTCTAATGCTCTTTTGAAGTTACAAGAACAGGTCCATCATATCTTTGGAAAGGAGGCTGTTAAATTTGGTGGGACACAGGAGTCCTCTTCTGCTAGTAAGATGATTTTCTGATTTTGCCTCCATAATCTGCAAAAGTGAAATTAACAGGAGAGACAGGGCAAGGCTTGAAGCAACGGAAAAGGAAAAAATAAATAAATTTGAAAGCAGGCAGCAGCCCTGCAGTAAGAGCTCCTCAAGGTGTGGGCTCAATGCCAGAATAAAACAGGTAAGGTTCAGTGAGGTGTCCTGCGCTAGCTTGGTGACTTGCTGTCTCTCTCCGTCAACCATGCAAAAATGCCAAATTTGTAACCACATTATTAATTTAGCAAAGTCATACTCATATACACTAAAAGGCTGGGAATGAGTGTTAAGGAATGATATCAAATTATTACATGCAGATAAGAGATTTACTGAACCTGTAACTGTATGAGCACATTCCAGGCTAGCAAACATAGGCAGAACGTACTCCACCTGGATTTCATGATCCAGTCTCTAGGCCTTCACAGGAAAAGATTTTCACCTATTAATCTTCGCCAATACTCCTACGCACACAGGATTCACATTTTTTCTTTTAAAAAACCCCCTAAATTCCAATTATGGAAAAAAAAGAGCTTTAGACAGAACTGAAGATGAGGCTAGAGAGAAAATATTCCTTCAGGGCACTATGAAGCTAATTAAAAAAATTGCACCTTTTAAAGTGTATAATAATCTTTTTCCTAGGTTCTATCTCTATAGCCCTCTGTCTAGCATCATATACCTTAGTAGAGCAGTAATCAAGTCAGACTGATGTCAAGTAACAATCGCTTCCTTTTGCATTCCTAATTTTAAAAAAAAAGCCCCTAAAATAAATAAATACAGGTTATATGGTGTACTTACCTCTCCCCAGTCCACATTTTTAGGTGGTAAGGGATAATATGAAGTTATATCATATGCTATTTCTTCCATAAACCACTTAAAACTTTTGCAGTTGTGATCTTCACGGAATTTTTTCAGCTCAGATATATCTCCATAGGGTAGTGCTTTTGTCTCTGGCCGACTGGCATAAAAGTAATCTTTGTATTCGTCCCACCACACTTCCACAACTCTGACATAGTTCTGTGAAGAATAAGGACATTGCTGCTACTTCAAGGCACACACAACAGGTCAGATGCAACTGCGTCTTACTTGCAGAAATTTAAGGATTTCTCCTCTTTGAAAGTAACAGCATGAAATTATTACTTAGCACTAATAATCTGTCGCCTTCAGCAGTTTATACAAGGCACATGCATATTATTTGCAAATGACAGTTTAGGACTGAAGCCAGCAAAATAAACTAGCTTGCTTAATGAGAGTAAGAAGTACTTTTCTAAGTTTAGAGAATGTTTATTTGAAAATAAAGACTCTTCAGTTATGGGTGCAATAAAATGGTGTAATCATTTACTATGTACCAGAACTGCAATTCAGAGTTTCTATTCACCTTCTACACTTTTAATACAGAGAATGATATACGTTAGCCCACTAAGGCTAAAATAATTAAGTCTTAAGTGGGTCAGCTATGACACACCAAGGAGATTTTATCTTCTTATTGCTGCTTGGAGAAAGGGAAAAAAATGGATAGCTCGCCTGGTGAACAAGTCTCTCCCTCGCATCTTTCTTCTCAAGTCTCTTTGCTGGCTCTTATCTCTGTATTAACCTGCACACGTTCTAGAAGTACATCTCACTTTGTACAACTCTTCTAGCATTAATGACCTGGTGTTAAAACAGTCTTATTAGATCTGACTAAAGGCACAGAATACTGTGAGTTTTACTTTAATCCACATCCAGCATAAATTGAACAAAGCTATAAAAAAGCACATTTACTATGGGGATAGGAGGGTGCCCAAAGAGGTAGAAAGCTACTCCTGCATCCTGCCTTGTACAGAGAAGCAACTTAATATTTAAGAATACTCAGCAGTGTTTTGTTGTACCCAGTAAGCAGATAAGCAGACTCATGTACAGTGTTTAGATATACAGTAAGTATTTTTGATCAGCTTTTCAAAAAAGTGAAATGGTTTTTATAATTTCAGACAAGGCAAACAAACACCTTGCCTGCACTGAGCAACGGAGCTATCATTTGCTATCCTGTCTCCCATTGCTCTGTTGCTACTCCCAGCTACGCTCATTTCCCTACTCTCCCTTGTATTGGTAACTAGTGCCTGTTTGATCAAAATGTTAATCAATTCATATTACTAATAGAGTCCTTTTTTTTTTTTTCCCCTGTTGGAGTAACTGGTTAGTTTTCCAATATTAAGCTAGCGTAGGACATTCTCTTTTCAACAGAACCAACTGCTAGCTTAGCTCAAGCCACACTCTGTAACCCTATTCTAGCTACTAAGAAGAAACCTAGCTCTGTTTCAGCTAGACACCCTACCAGCAGTTGTCATCACAGGTAATGTCTAAGATGTCTCTGGGATTGGAATTTACAAAGAACTGGGTCTTTGGGAACAGGATTTACCAATGCCAAAATACTGCACAAGAGGAAGCTTAAATCAGGCAATAGGAAACCTTAACAGGAGGGTTGTTGCTCTTCCTGTGCAAACTTATATGAAACAGTTTTTCTTAATTCAAACTATCTCTTCAGATATAGACAGCTCTTTCTTGACATAATGTCTACTTTTAATATCATGGCTTAAGCAACACTTCTGAACCTGCAAGGTGCCTGAGGAGTTACCAACCTTTACGATGAAGTGCAGATCATGCTGTTTTCCCAGGTGTCATTCACTGCTTCTTAATTAACAAATGCAGCCACAAAGATCAGAGAAATGCTAGATTACTGTATTCGCTAACTCAGCCTAGGATCACACCCTATCAAGCCAAAAGAGGTTTCAAACCCACAACCATCATCTCCAGGAGTTACTAGAGTTGTCTGTACTTCAGTTGGGCACAGCACAGCAAAGGCTTGGGGTGCTGACAGCAAATAAAGATCACTATCTTAGCTTTAGACACTAAATAGTTTTGGATTAAGTGCTCTTTAAATTGCTAACGATAATTTAGATTTATTTAAAACTGTTCTTCTCTAAAACCAAAAACCACCTTCGAGGTTGTAGCAAAACGGTACCTTTAATGTAGGAGAAGATCCAACATACACAGGGGGTGGATTTCCTTGCCATCCTTGGAGACGGTAGATGTGTCCAACACGAGAACAGGGAACAAACAACAGTTTTCCCCCACACTGCCAGATCTACAAGATAAAGCAAAGGTTTTATTAATATATACGCATAGGAATTTAAGACAGACATATACAATAAATTATGGAAGAAATGTCAACAACTTTTCTTACTATACCAATTGTGTGATACATTTCAATATTTTCACTTCAGATGTAAACATAATATGTCTCTGAAATGAAAGGCTGTACTGAGTTAATCTTCAACTCAGCCACTGAATTACTCAACTAAATTACTTTTTCACAAAGCTTTTAAAAAATGTTTGCCATCTCATTCCATTGCTATTTGAAAACAACAGTAATGAATGAGTGCACAAAATCTGGAACTAGGTAATTTTTATTACGTCAGAATTAATAATATTTTTATTTTATTAATGCAATTCACATACCATCACTAAGATCAGTTTTGGTTAGATGCCCATCACATATAATTTTTTCTTAATAAAGACTAGTAGGAGATAAGGATGTCTTCGGTGACCCACTGTTCCAAGTACAAACAGATTTTTCTTTAACTATAGCAGCTGAAAATGGGTAAAACATGTTACCATTCCAAAATTCCCTCCCTCCCACACATCCTTGGACAATCCATTTATGGGGAAAAGAAAACATACCTAAATCTGAATATAGCTGCTCATAGTTTTGACAAGTTTGAAATGTAGCATTAAATCCAAATTCAAGATAACTTTGGGGATGTTCCAAACTAGTCTGAATTACAGATTAAAAATATGACTTGATAGTATTAGGAAAGATAGGCAGAATAGTTTACTTCCTTCATTGCATCATCATATTGATTTCCTGAAGTTTCATCAAAAAAAACCCCTCAGATATGCAAGGTCATTATATTCAACATCTCAGCCTCAGCATGCAAGATTGATAAATGCTACTTAGTTCTTCTAAAGATTGGTTGTAATCTACATAAACCAATTCGGAGGTCTCTACATAGTCAGCACTTCAATTACAAAACTACTGTATGTTATTTTAGCTCTAAGCAAGATGGAGAATTGGGAGGATAAAGACCCTGTGTGTGTAACATCCTCAATAACTACCTTTTGCATATGGATTTACAGCTGAGAAAGCGCACTCGGAGCTTTCCTCAAAATCACGAAGAGCAAGAGTAGCTAGGGGAGCTCTGAATGTACTTTTAGTAAAATTCAGCTACGGTTTCAGATTGCTGCAGAGGATATTAGAAATCT